TTGCTGATTCACTCTAATGACTGTTTCTTTTGCTGTGCAGAAGCTGTGGAGTTTAATTAGGTCCCATTTGTCTATTTTGGCTTTTGTTGCCAATGCTTTTGGTGTTTTAATCATGAAGTCCTTGCCTATGCCTATGTCCTGGATGGTTTTGCCTAGGTTTTCTTCTAGGGTTTTTATGGTGTTAGGTCTTATGTTTAAGTCTTTAATCCATCTGGAGTTAATTTTAGTATAAGATGTCAGGAAGGGGTCCAGTTTCTGCTTTCTGCACATGGCTAGCCAGTTTTCCCAACACCATTTATTAAACAGGGAATCCTTTCCCCATTGCTAATTTTTGTCAGGTTTGTCAAAGATCAGATGGTTTTAGATGTATGGTGTTGCCTCCGAGGCCTCTCTTCTGTTCCATTGGTCTATATCTCTGTTTTGGTACCTATACCATGCTGTTTTGATCACTGTAGCCTTGTAGTATAGTTTGAAGTCAGGTAGTGTGTTGCCTCCGGCTTTGTTCTTTTTGCTTAGAATTGACTTGGCTATGCAGGCTCTCACTTGGTTCCATATGAAGTTTAAGGTGGTTTTTTCCAGTTCTGTGAAGAAAGTCATTGGTAGCTTGATGAGGATAGCATTGAATCTGTAAATCACTTTGGGCAGAATGGCCATTTTCACAATATTGACTCTTCCTAACCATGAGCATGGAATATTTCTCCATCTGTTTGTGTCCTCTCTTATTTCATTGAGCAGTGGTTTGTAGTTCTCCTTGAAGAGGTCCTTTACATTCTTTGTGAGTTGTATTCCTAGGTATTTTATTCTCTTTGTAGCAATTGTGAATGGCAGATCGTTCTTGATTTGGCTCTCTTCAAGTCTGTTATCGGTATATAGGAATGCTTGTGATTTTTGCACATTGATTTTGTATGCTGAGACTTTGCTGAAGTTGCTTATCAGTTTCAGGAGATTTTGGGCTGAGATGTTGGGGTCTTGTAAATATACAATAATGTCATCTGCAAATAGAGACAATTTGACTTCCTCCTTTCCTAACTGAATACCCTTTATTTCTTCTTCTTGCCTGATTGCTCTGGCTAGAACTTCCAGTACTATATTGAATAGGAGTGGTGAGAGAGGGCATCCTTGTCTAGTGCCAGATTTCAAAGGGAATGCTTCCAGTTTTTGCCCATTCAGTATGATATTGGCTGTGGGTTTGTCATAAATAGCTTTTATTATTTTGAGATACATTCCGTCAATACCTAGTGTATTGAGGGTTTTTAGCATAAAGGGCTGTTGAATTTTGTCAAAGGCCTTCTCTGCATCTATTGAGATAAACATGATCAAGTAGGCTTCCTCCTGGAGATGCAAGGCCGGTTCAACTTATGCAAGTCTATAAATAGTTAGTTTTCAGAGTTCTAAAAAGCTTTGACAGTTGTTGCCAGTTTTTTAGTAGATTTTATAAAGGTAAAAATTTTGAAAATGTTTATTCCATTTTTGCTGATGTCACTACACCACAACCTTTTTATTACACTATTTGTACCATATAATGTATTCATTATACTATTATTATGACTTATTAATAACAATTCCCAATATTGAAAACGATGAACAATAAAATTCTGGTAATTTTAGTCAAGATCATAATGGATTGAACAATATAAAATTGACATTTTTAAAATTGAAAAAAATTAAAGCTATGGTGGCATACCGTATTTTTCAAAAGTGCATTTTCAAAAAGTATAGTTTTCTAAAAATACATATTCTATCCCACAGGGACTTTTTATAATGTAACATTGACGCTCCTCCACGGAGAGGTAAAGTCACTGTTCCCTCTGCTTGATCTGAGGCGAATCTTTGTAACTGCCTTAACTAATAAGTACAGTGCAGACGACGCTTTCTGACTTCTCAGGCTACATAATAAAAGGTTATATGACTTCTGTTTGTATCTACTTCTCCAGAACCCCTAGCTGAAAAGACTGGAAATCCTACCAGAGCAATCAGGTATGAGAAAGAAATAAAAGGCATCCAAATAGAAAGAGAGGAAGTCAAACTATCTATCTTCAAAAGTGACATTACTCTGTAAGGAGAAAATGCCACAGTCTCTGCCGAAAGGCCATAGATCTCGTAAACAACTTTAGTAAAGTTTCAGGATGTAAAATCAATGTTTAAAAAATCAGCAGCATTCCTATACACCAAGCTGTGAGCCACAACAACAACAAAATCCCATTCATAGTAGCTGCAAGAAAAACTGAAAATACCTAGGAATGCAGCTAACTAGAAGGATGAAAGATCTCTAAATGAGAATTATAAAACACTGCTGAAAGTAATCAGATGACACAAACAAATGAAAAACATTCCATGCTCAAAGATAAGAAGAATCAATACCGTTAAAATGGCCCTACTGCCCAAAGCAATTTACAGATTCGGTGCTATTCCTAGTAAACTATCAATGACATTTTTACAAAATTAGAAAAAACTGTTCTAAAATTTATATGAAGCCATTATAAAAAAGAGTCTGACAAATGAAAGTAATCTTTAGCAAAAAGAACAGCACTGGAGGCATTACACTACCCAACTTCAAACTGTCTGACGAAGCTGCAGAAACCAAAACAGCATGGGACTGGTACAAAAGCAGATACATGGACCACTGGAACAGAATCTCTATTCCAGGGACAAAGATTGCGGTAACGCAAAAATAAAGCTGCACACCTATAACCATCGGTTCTTTGACAAAGTTGACAAAAGGAAACAATGGGGAAAAGACTCCCTGTTCAATCAATGGTGCTGGGACAGCTAGCGAGCCATATGCAGAATGAAACTGAATGCCTACCTTTCACCATATACAAAAAATTAACTCAAGTTGGATTAAAAAGTTAAATGCAAGACCTCAAACTATAAGAATTCTAGAAGAAAATCTAGGAACCACATTTTAAACGTTGGCCTTGGGAAATGATGCATGACTAGGTCCTCAAAAGCAATTGCAACACAAACAAAAATTGACAAGTGGAGCTGAATTAAACTAAAGAGCTTCTGCAGAGAAAATAAATAAAAAACTATTAACAGAGTAAACAGCAAACGACAGAATGGGAGAAAATATTTGCAAACTACGCATCTGACAAAAGTCTAATATCCAGAATCTATAAGGAATTTAAATCAACAAACAAAAACCTTTATTTAAAAATTTGGCAAACGTGGACACTTGTCAAAAGCAGACATATAGAAAGACAGCCAACATATTTTTAAATGCCCAATATCACTAATAACTAGAGAAATGCAAATCAAAACCACAATGAGATCCCCTCTCACACCAGTCAGAAAAGCTATTTTTAAAAGTTAAAAAATAACAGACCCCGGGGAGGCCTTGGAGAGAAGGAAATGCTTATATACTGCTGGTAGAAATAAAAATTAGTGCAACTACAGTGGAAAGAAGTCTCAAGATTTATCAAAGAACTTAAAATAGAAGCATTATTTGACACAGCAATCCCATTATTTAGTATATATCGGAAGGAATATCAATTATTGCACCATAAAGATAGATACGTGTGTGTGTTCACTGCAGCAATATTCACAACAATAAAGACATGGAATCAACCTAGATGCCCATGAAAGTGGACTAGATAAAGAAAATGTGGTACATATGTGCCGTGGAATACCATGCAGCCATAAAAAAGAACAAAATCATGTCCTTTCCAGCTGCATGGATGCAACTGGATACCGTTATTCTAAGCAAGTAAACACAGAAACAGAAAACCAAGTACCACGTTTTCTTAAAAGTGAAACCTACACACTGAGTACACCTTTGTCAAAATCGTTGACCATGTGTAAATATATGCGGTCTTATCCATATGCAGACCATTCATATGATGGTCTTATCCTTGAGTCTCTCTTATGTTCTGTTGAACTACATGTCTCTCCTTATCCCAGTATCAATGTCTTCATTAACGTAGCTTTGTCTTGAAACAAGGCAGTCGAAATTCTCCAGCTTTGTTCTACTTTAGAAAAATTACTTTGAATATTACCCTTTTGCAACATTTTTGCAAACATGAAATTATTAAAATAGATGATTAATAAAGAGATAAATGGGTGAATGCTCATAAATATGTCATGAAAATGATCAAAAGGAGTCAAATAAAAGCTATATAAAAGTTACATGTATATGTATATAGATTTTTCAAAAAAGACTTACATCGTATATGAAAGTTTACAAATTTTAAAAAATATCAATTCAGGGAAATGTGCCAATAAGGGATTGAACAGAAGGTAAATTTGTTTTGGGTAAATTGGATTTTGGTCAATTGATTTTTGATGAAAGGCATGCTCTTAAACTTTCAATTTTGTTGCTATGTGGTGGGTTAGGGTGAAAGGTTAGGGAGTCTCTTGAAGCCCAGAGTCTTTTGACAGGAGCTGTGCCCTTTCTCTGTCTTTATCTTTCAACTCTCCTGATCTTATTCGCCTTGCTGTATGAGGTAATTATGCAAAAGATCAATAATGATGAAAAACTATTTGTTTTCAATGTGAATTAAGCATATCCACCTTTCAGACGTGATTAAGAACACTGTACACAAGTGATGATAGCCTCTCTTTTAAGGAATAACTTAATTTAAAAACAGCTTCTCATAAATGAACCTTAGATAATACTCTTGTCCCTCTTGCAAAAAAAAAAAGGTGTATTATGGAAATGTTTTTTTACAAGCCCTGGGACTTTTATAATAATGATGTTCTGTACTCACATGACCTTACTTCTTGGCCCCATTCAAAAAAGAAAGTTAACTGAAGGTATTAACTGTGGTGAAATCGAGAGCCCATAGAAGAAGGAAAGGGCTACCCATCTGGTTTCCTATAATTAGGTTAATCTGTCACCAAATTTAGAGACTCTAGGGTTTGGAGATATTCCAGCGGAAGCTGTTTTATTTCCTTGCTGTTAAGCTTCACTGACTAAGAGGAGCCTCAGGCCCCCAGAAGTAAATAAAAGCCCCTGTGTTCCACCAGCCCTGATCACTCACCTCTCTGTTGGGCACTCAACCATGAAACTCCATTCCCTTATTTCTGTTCTCCTCCTCTTTGTGACTTTAATACCAAAAGGTAAGATGGTGAGTGATTATAGAAGTCTATTGGGATGCCCAGACCATAAGAGGTCCATTGAGAGAATTACACTGTGGCTGTCCTAACTCAGACCCCAAGTCACAGCTGTAGGAATTCAGAAATCCAACATGCTCATCTTCTTTGGTACTAATGAATCCAAAATTTAGAAGCAGGATAAGGAGTTCTTTCAAAAGAAAATGGGGGTTCAAGAGGTCCATAATTAGAAAATGGGACCAAAATAGAGGAAGTGGTGTAGAAGTTTTGAGATGTGATTTAAAGGTTAGTGAATACAGCAAATAGCTATCATCAAGGCCTCACTCTCCAGAAAGGGAAGCGAAGATGACAGCCCTGGGTTCAGACTGGGTAGTGAATGGAAATGATGTAGAGTCTATTGGTGAGGAATATTCGCGAAGGGTAGCAGTTAGGCAATAACACACAGTTCAACAAGAAAGTGTGGCAACAAATGATAAAAGACCAGTAGGAATTTGGGAGCAGGGGAATGTGGAAAAAGTATAAACAGTAGCATGAAGCTTCAATGGCAAAATTTTAAGCATAAGACAAATAATGTAGAAAACATTTTAAGACTCTTAGTTGCATTCTTAAGGTCTGTGATTCAGAAGTTTAAATATTAAAATGTAGAACCAAATTTTGAAGGGAATATAGAATCAAATATCTTCTGGATGTTTCATCCAGATCCTAGTAAGTTTCTGATAAAATTATTATCTCCATTGTTAATAGTGGGATGTTCATATCACTCAAAATGAATGAGCGATGTGAACAAAGATCTCTTCCATGCTTTATCTCTGAGATCCTTCTTTAAAATAATGTCAACTTATATTGTAGATTCAGGAGGTATGTGTGCAGGTTTGTTAGGTTGTAATGTGTGCTGTGAGGTTTGGGATATGATGATCCCATCACCCAGGTAGCGACCATAGTACCAAATAGTCAGTTTTTCAATCTCTGTTCCCCTCCCTCCCCACTCTAGTGGTCTCCAGTGTCCCATCTTTACGTCCATGAGTATCCACTTATGTTTAGCTTCCACTTATAAGTGAGAACATGCGGTATTTGGCTTTCTATTTCTGTATTAATTTGCTTGGGATTTCACCTCCAGCTGCATCCATGTTGCAGCAAAGGATATGATTTTGTTCTTTTTTATGGCTGCATAGTATTCCATAGTATATATGTACCATATTTTCTTTATCCAATCCATCATTGATGGGCACCTAGGTTGATTCTTTGTCTTTACTACTGTGAGTAGTTATGTGATGAACATAGGAGTGCATGTATGTTTTGGGTAGAATGATTTATTTTCTTTGGACAATATACCCAGTAATGGGACTGCTGGGTTGAATGGTAGCTCTGTTTTAAGTTCTTTGAGGAATCTTCAGACTGCTTTCCACCGACAGTGGGAATGTAAATGCATTCTTTTCTCCAAGCCTCGTCTGCATCTGTTATTTTTTGACTTTTCATAATAGCCGTTCTCACTGGTGTGGGACAGCTCTCACTGTGGTTTTGATTTGCATTTCTCTAGTGATTAACGATGTTCTATTTTTCATGTTTACTGACTGCTTCTATGTCCTCTTTTGAGAAGTGTCTGTTCGTATCTTTGATGTCTTTTCCCCACTTTTTAGTGGAGTTATTTGCTTTTTGCTTGTTGATGTAAATTCCCTGTAGATTCTGGATATTTGATTTTTGTCAGATGCATAGTTAGCAAATATTTTCTCCCATTCTGTAGTTTGCAGTTTACTCTGTTAATAGTTTATTTTTCTCTGCAGAAGCTCCTTAATTTGGCTCCACATGTCAATTTTTGTTTTTGTTACAATTGCTTTTGAGGACTTAGTCATAAATTATCCCCCAAGGCCAGTATCTAGAATGGTGTTTCTTAGGTTTTCTTCTAGGATTCCTATGGCTTGAGGTTTGCATTTAAATCTTTAATCCATCTTAAATTAATTTTTTGGTGAAAGATAGGCATCCAGTTTTATTCTTCTGCATGTGGCTAGCAAGCTGTCCCAGCAGCATTTCTTGGACAGGGAGTCCCTTTTTCTGTTGCTTATTTTTGTCAATTTTGTCAAAGAGCAGATCATGTGCAGCTTTATTTCTGGGTTCTCTATTCTGTTTCAAAGGTCCATGTGTCTGTTTTTATACCAGTCCCATGCCGTTTTAGTTACTGTAGCCTTGTAGTATAATTTGAAGTCAAGTAGGATGATGCCTCCAGTGTTGTTCTTTTTCCTTAGGATTATTTCAGTTACCTGAGCTATATTTTGGCTTCATATGAATCTTAGAATAGCTTTTTTCTATTCTGTGAAAAATGTCATTGGTAGTTTGATAGGAATAGCACTGAATCAATTGCTCCGGGCAGTATGACCATTTTCATAATATTTATTCTGCCAGTCCATAGCAGGGCATGTTTTTCTGCTCGTGTCATCTATGATTTCTTTCAACAGTGTTTTGTAGTGTCCCTTGCAAAGATCTTTCACTTCCTTGGTTAAATGTCTTCATGGGTAATTGATTTTTTGTGTGGCTATTGTAAATGGGAGTGCATTCTTGACTTGGCTTTCAGGTTGAACATTATTGGTTTCTAGAAAAGCTACTGATTTTTGTACGTTGATTTTGCATCCTGAAACTTTACTAAAGTTGTCTCTCCCTTTGGCAGAGTCTTTAGGATGTCTTAAGCAGAGAATCATATCATCAATAAAAACAGGCAATTTGATTTCTTTTCCTATTTAGTTGCCTTTTATTTCAAAAGGCTGTTTGCTCTGTCTCGTACTTCCAGTACTATATTGATTAGGATGGTGAGAGAGGGCACTCTTGGCTGTACCAGTTCCGATATTCTTTTAAATGCAATCAAAACTACTCAATTGTTTGATCTTAACCTACTCTGTGGACATGTTGAGACCTACCTCACATATGCCTGCTTCTGAAGGAGCTTATGCAATTCTCCTCTGGTTCTCAGAGGATGCAATTGGTCAGAAAGTACAACTGAAGTCAGACACACTTGTGGTGACATCTGATATGAAATTATATGATGGTAATGATTTCAAATTAAAATAAAATTTAATGGTAGTTGTTTTTATTTTAGATAATAGAACCATGTACAGATACAGAATGTGATTTTACTATAATCACATAGGTAGTGGCAACATTGCAGCCAAAATCAAATCTCTTTAATCTGGGTCAATGCTGTTGTTTTTATCAAGCCACAGGTGTGGATATGCACACAAATATGATAACTCTGATTTCTTTCTCAAAATCTTCTGATTGTATATTGGGGAAACTAAGGAGATTTTCTGCTGTGTGTGACAACATGGATGAACCTGGAGGACATTATGCTAAATGAAATAAGCTAGTCACAGAAGACAAATACTGCATGATTCCACTTATATGAGGTACCTAAAATAGTCAAACCCATGGAAACAGGTGGTAGAATGGTGGTTGCCAGGGACTGGGGAGGGAGGAGGAAATGGGGAGTTGCTATTTAACCAATTGCACAATGCAGTTAAACCAGCACCTTCCATAACTGGCTGGTGAGACTTCAAGTCTCTCTCTGAAAGGCAGTCACTTCCTCTTCCACAATATTCTTGGGGGGAAAAAGAGGTAGTGTTATGAGATATTATCCAACTCCCCCATCACGACATTCTCTTGCTGTATAGAAACCCTGAGTTTACGGACTGCTCATCTGACAGTAGAATATAACACCAGACCTCACCAGGTTGAAGCTTCTAACAAGCGTAGAAGACAATCTTGCACAGCTTATGAGCACTCAGTTCCAAAGGCTGCACTGGTTTTTCTGGCGATGGATCTATTTCTACAAAATACAGAGACAATAATGATAGTCTAGTTTAAATACAAAACAATAACAAACCACAACAAAAAGATCCAGAGCTGAAAAGGCCATCAAACTATTAGCCAAACTGCAGAAGCAAAGAAGCAAGAGGTAGAATGTTACAGGATAGTAAAAATAAGATCCAGGTGTGTTCATAGGATGGTTCAGGAACCAATGTCTGTTAATTCTTTTTTTTTTTTTTTTTTTTTTTTAGATGGAGTTTCGCTCTTGTTACCCAGGCTGGAGTGCAATGGTGCAATCTCGGCTCACCGCAACCTCCGCCTCCTGGGTTCAGGCAATTCTCCTGCCTCAGCCTCCCGAGTAGCTGGGATTACAGGCACGCACCACCATGCCCAGCTAATTTTTTTTATATTTTTAGTAGAGACGGGGTTTCATCATGTTGACCAGGATGGTCTCGATCACTTGACCTCATGATCCACCCGCCTCGGCCTCCCAAAGTGCTGGGATTACAGGCTTGAGCCACCGCGCCCGGCTAATGTCTGTCAATTCTTATATGACATGTGCTGTGATCCACAGTAGGAAAAATAAACTATGGTTGTGCTGAGAAGGCAAGAGAAAGGAGAGTAAGCATAGAAGAAACTACTGACTTAGACACACCATAGCCATATGCTTCTCAACAACCAAATGAATAAGAGAAAATATGGATACACTTAAGGGAAAATACCTTTTAGCTCTGTGAGTAATTCTCTCCAAGTATCTATCTATCTATCTATCTGTCTGTCTATCTATTTATCTGTCTATCTATCTATGAGGCATTGAGTAACATAGGAAAGGTATTTTATTACATAGTCCTGAAATGGGGAAATTAGTTTAGATAAAATCTAAAGGATCGATAGGCTTTCTTTAAAAGGAGCTAAAGATGCAACCCTGCAACATTTGATAAGAATGATGTATAGCAGAAGGAAAGGTGGAGGGACAGATACTTTTTTTTGAAACTGTTTCCTAGGGGGGCCTTGTTGTGTTTGGTGCAAGACAATTCCTTAGGTGAAAAATTCAGTAATTCTGTGCTTTACCCACTAAGTACCAATGACACCGTCCCTAGTCATGGCAGCAAGAGCAAATGGTTCTACACACTTCCAAATGTACTGCTCCAAGGGAGGACAATCCCCTTAAAGGTTTTTAGAAATTTGCCGGTTTCCCTCAAGGTGTATGTAATCTGCAATCTTAGCTCCCCTCCCGTGAAAAGGCACTTTTTTATAGACAATGTTTTCTCTTCTATCCCAAAGCCATTCTTCTGGGGGCTGTTGTATGTACATTTCCAGCAGTGAATTAATGATGTTCCTAAATCTCTTCCTGCGTAGGAAAGACTGGCGTTATTCCAGGACAGAAACAGTGTATTGTTTTGAAAGGGGTGTGCAGAGACCACGGATGCAGCACACTAGATGACACCATTGGTGTATGTAGCGACGAGAAAAAATGCTGTAGAAGGTGGTGGATACTTGAGCCCTATCCAACTCCGGTTCCCAAAGGAAAATCTCCTTAGGTGGGAGCAAACTGTAAGCCCTTTGAACTCCAGAATGGATGGATACATTTTGCAGACTTGTGTTTAACATAATTTCTCATTCTTTCTTGACTGGAAATAAATGTTGTCCTAATCCCTAATCCCATGTACTGACTGACCCCTGGAGCATTTCTTCTGGATGCACATTCAGGCCTCTTAAGAACTATAAGAATAAATAATAGAGGAATCTCATACCCTACAGGTGTTTATAAAAAATGTAAGTTTCTAAGGAAAAAACAAAGATAAAAATGTTAAATATGTAAAATAATAAGAACGGGCAGTCGCAGTAGGCAGTGTTTGGTTATCTGAAGTGGAAAGTCGACCTTCTTCCTCATCTGGTTCTGAACAAATGTCATTTTCATCACCGAGAGAGACCTACTTAGATAACATGGGTTAACGTCTGCTAATCGTGCGACCTTGCTAACATTGCATCTGAGAATTAGGCACATGACCGTTCCAGTCATTCCATCCCTTGAAGCAGGTCCCCCCTCTGCTGCCCTCTCTGCCCCTAGAGAAATAGAAAAGAAGACCTGCTTTCTACAATAGGCCCACTAGGGGGAGCTGTAACACTGAAGAGTTGCTAAGTCAGCACGCCTGGTTCGTTCTTCCCAAACTCTCAGATAACTCCGTTTTCAGGCCAAGATAATTAAAGGACAGACAGGATACCAGGAGTACGACATGGCATGAGTGCCACAAAGATGGAAAAAATCTAGAATGAGAGCAAATTACCCCGCAAACAAAATTCAAGAGTTTGTGTCTTTTTTTAACCGCAAAGCTTATAGTCCATCAACCAGGGGAGTGGAAGGGTGGGTTATCTCCCTATGCAGAGGAAACATTAGGAGCCTATTCAAATAACTCGAATTGCATCTCCGTGGATCTGTTTCTTCAGTCATAGTCATTGCTTTTTCTATATTTTCTCAGAATCGCGCATGAACAGCATATTACTCTGAGATCAGATTCTAAGCCAATCTCAGAATAACACACTAATACAATTTTTACCAGGTACACTGTACCCGTAGCTGAAAACTCATATCTTCTTTGTCATCTTAAGTTATGTGCCACTGCGTTATTTAGTATACCACATTAGAGATTATCTGATAATTAATGACAGTAAGGGATTTTTAAAGTCATAAATACCCTCCTACATAAAAATGCTAAAAAAGGAAAAATTTTCCGCATTTGAATGTAAACAACAACTTTCCTTTTAAAATGTCCAGGCATAAATCGAAGTTCAAAGATTGAATGTCTTCAATCTCTATTTTAAAGCCCAAGGCATTAGAATCCAAATGAAGGAAGGTAAAGAATGAATATTCGGTTATAAATTATTTATTGAAAATCAGGCACCTTCCTGGAGCGCCATGTGCAATAAAACGAATAATTTCTGGTCAAATTTGACTATCTACTGGTAAACTGCCTCCTTCTTCTTCTATGGTGACAGCTTATATTCGACAGCTATCTGATCTTCTTCTTGGTGTTCTTTTAAGGAAAGGCATTCGTCAAAGCACTTTATCTTTTTTTACTGAAGCCCTCTGCAATCTAAGCCATCTTTCAATGCTCATCTGGTACCTACTGGCCCACTCCCAGAATTCAGTGAACCTTCCTGTGACCCTTCTTTGATATCCTGATCGCCGGCCCGTGGATTACACAGTGTTCTTGGGCTTCCTGGGAAGGATTCCAAACCTGTCTCCTGGCTCCACTTCTATTAGGTTGGTGCAAACCTACGGCTGGCAAACCAAGTTCATAGACTATATCAAGCAGAAAATTCTGCCCTTTGTGTTCCATAAAGGATTTCAATTATTTGTTCACATAAAGTCTATTGCTTTGTAATGTAAACTGTATTTCCAAAGCTTTTCCTCATGATCAGGAAGGAAAGACTTCTCAGATAGGTGAGAAAAATCAGTGAATTCTGGATTCTTGATCAGAGATGCCAGTGGTCCTAGGCCATTCTGGTTTCAGTAAAAGGAAGAGTCAGCACTAGCAATCACCAGCACAACGACCCTAAGATCCCCTTCTGTGTTTCTAGGGTGCTGACAGAGGCTTGTGCCCAGACACCGCTTGCCCTGCAGCTCAGGAGGAAGGACCTGAATGGAGGTTTAGGGGAAAACATCCCAGAGCTTTCATGCCCCTCATTGGCCCTCCTTATAGGCTTAGACTTGTGAATTGCGCTTCTTCCAAGACCTCCCCATCCCTGATTCAACTTAACATGTCATTTTCAAAGTCTCTAAAGGCAGGGAATGTCTGCTTAAATAAAGTAACCACAGGTTCCATTCACTAAAACTCTGAAGTATTATAGAAGTAGCACCCTGAAGAAGCCATGGCAGAAAGAGAACTTCCTTTTTGGTACGGAGAAAAGTGACTTCACCTGTAGTGAGACCATCTAGAAAGCCATGAAGATCAAGTAAGACCAGGAATGTGCATGTACTTTGCAGTTTCTGAGGTTGATATTCACCGGATGTGGTGACTCACACCTGTAATCCCAGCAGTTTGGGAGGCCAAGGCAACAGATCACTCGAGGCCAGGAGTTCGTGACTGGCCTGGCCAACATGGCAAGACCCCATCTGTAGTAAAGATACAAAGATTAGCCGGAGGTGTGCACCTGTACACTCAGCTATCGGGAGGCTGAGGCAGGAGAATTGCTTGAACCCATGAGGTGGATGTTGCAGTGAGCTGAGATCACAACACTGCGCTCCAGCCTGGGCAACAGAGTGAAACGCTGTCTATAAACAAATAAATAAACTTTGCTCAGGTTGCATTGCCATTGCTTTGTACATACTGTTTACTTTCCCACATGTATTATAGGTTCTCTAAGGCCCACTCCTCTTTCTTCTATTCCTCTCATATTACATAGAACTGATGAGAAAAGAATTTGTATTAACTTAGATTTCAGTGTAAAAATTAGTTGATCTCATTCAGTTGATTGGACAGAAAGATAATCAAATGAAATCTTTTCTATATCTTACTAGTGTGTTTACAATTTCAGATCTAATGCCACTGCTTAAGGATGCGAATACACAGTGCCAAAAACATTAAGAAATAGGCTTGCTGTTGTATCATGTGCGTCCTCCTGTTATCAGAAAAAATAAAATGAATGCTTTTCCTCTATAACTGCTTCCTTAACTTTTACAGTTCCTCCAGAACGCATGAGACGATGCCGATATTTCAACAGTCTTTCCTGCCTTTGCCATGGCTGTGCTTTCTGCTTCCTTTGTCCACACCCTGTTGAGATTTGATAAATGTGCTTTGAATGACTGATAGTCACGATGATTGCATGCTGTCTCCTGATACAAAATCTCGCTGAAGCACAGAATTGTTCTTGCTCCTGGAAGGTTCAATAATCATTCAGCAGCTCATCTCTTAAGAGGACTAAACGTACACAAAAGTCCTCTTCACCTCGGCTACTGATTCTCTCTAACCTGCTTCACCTATTCGACCATGAGGGTCTTGTTTTTTATCTTTGGAGTCCTTGCCTTGCTGTCCACAATTCCTCCAGGTAACACAGAAAGTTTTTGTTTTTTTTTTTTTTTTTTGAGACGGAGTTTCGCTCTTGTTACCCAGGCTGGAGTGCAATGACGCGATCTCGGCTCACCGCAACCTCCGCCTCCTGGGTTCAGGCAATTCTCCTGCCTCAGTCTCCCGAGTAGCTAATTTTTGTATTTTTAGTAGAGACGGGGTTTCACCATGTTGACCAGGATGGTCTCGATCTCTTGACCTAGTGATCCACCCGCCTTGGCCTCCCAAAGTGCCGGGATTACAGGCTTGAGCCACCGCGCCCGGCCGACAGAAATTTTTTATTCCAAAATTCTGAAATTACAAGTAAAAGAAAATGGAAGGTTTTTCAAGAATCTGAAAATAAATTAGACATGGGCAGATCTTACTGTACCATGAAGGCTGCTCAGAGGATCGAAGAGTCATACTAAAGACATCAATAAGGTGGTTCATTGCAGTGATTTAACCTATTATAAATTCACTTGAGGCCGGTCACAGCGGCTGATGTCTGTAATCCCAGCAATTTGGGAGTCTGAGGTGGGTGGATCACTTGAGCTCAGGAGTTCTAGACCAGTCCCTGGGGGAGCAACAGGGCGAAATCCCATCTCTACAAAACTATACAAAAAAAATAGCCCAGTGTAGTGGCACGTGCTTGTGATTCTGGCTACTCGGGAAGCTCAGGCAGGAGGATCGCTTGAACATTGGCTGCGTTGAGTTTCGGTCGCGCCACTGCACCCAGCCTGGGCAGCAGAGTAAAACCCTGTCTCAAAAAAATAATGATAATAAATAAAAATAAACTGACTTGAGAGTTGTGTTTGATCAAAAGATGGTGACAGGATGCACACGGAATACAGGAAATTTAAAGAACTGCAAGAAAGAAAAGCAAGTGAAGACTAGAAGAAGGGCTGGAGGTGAAGAGGTGGGCGCCCCGCCGTAATCCTTGATTCACAGGACACTTTCACCACTGACCCAGGCAGGGACCTACTCTCTGTGTTTCTTTAAAGTTGAATAAAATTCTTGCCAACTAGGCCAGGTGCGGTGGCTCAAGCCTGTAATCCCAGCACTTTGGGAGGCCGAGGCGGGTGGATCACGAGGTCAAGAGATCGAGACCATCCTGGTCAACATGGTGAAACCCCGTCTCTACTAAAGATACAAAAAATTAGCTGGGTATGGTGGCGCGTGCCTGTAATCCCAGCTTCTCAGGAGGCTGAGGCAGGAGAATTGCCTGAACCCAGGAGGTGGAGGTTGTGGTGAGCCGAGATCACGCCATTGCACTCCAGCCTGGGTAACAAGAGTGAAACTCCGTCTCAAAAAAAAAAAAAAAATTCTTGCCAACTAGAAAGTGCTAGTAAGATGAAAAATAAATAAATAAAAATAAAATTGAATAAAACTCTTATGATATCATTTAATGTATGTGGAAATTACTTTTTGTGTGGTAAGACTTAAGAGTCCACCTTAATTTTTAACCACATAATTAGCCAATTATATAGCTATAT